TGTGTATATATATATATATTATTATACTATATATATATATATATATATGTGTGTGGTGTGTGTGTAGTAGTTATATATATATATATATATATATATATATATTTATAAATATAAATATATATATATACATATACATGTGTGTGTTTGTGTGTTTGCATTTATATTATATATATATACTACTACTACTATGTACAACAGCACGCATGCACAGTTCACAATATTTTTTACCTTGGTGAAGAAGCGAATGGGACAACAAACAGCAACAATTGGCGTCCACTGTGTGCCGTCAGAAATGATCTGGGTGCTTTGGCTACGCTGAAGCCACGCACCATTCGAGTCTTTGGTAAAGTGACAAGTGGTACTGCTGAAGATGAGCGTATGAATTTCACTGTCACCCGCGAGAATATATTCGAAGACAGGGCCATGGTGGTGATTATATATCAACTGGGGATATGATGGAAGGTGGGATTGGATGGAAAGATGCAGAGTGGGGCACAATTTGATACTTAGTAATGGACAACACAATTGAGAATGAAAAAGTACAATGTCTATGCTCCTGTGATGAGAACTTGAGGTATCTTAACTGCTGCAGCTGCACTCAACATATTAGGGTTTAGGGTTTATATACTTCCTGTGGTGCTCACAGGGGCAAAAACCTGCCACTTTGGGTCAATTTTCAAACGCGAATATCTCTGGAAGTCATATTTCAGACAAAAAAATATATACAGAGCCAATTTTTGAAAGTCCCAATTTTTGGAGGGCTTACCATACCCCCAGGGCCCCAACCCACCTACCCCTATATTCCCCTATGCCTATACACTATATACCCCATATATGCTATGCTGCACACGCCCCTCCCCCCCCGCCCAGACTTAGAGTGGAATCTATTGGGTACTGACTGAGTCACCAGCGCCATCTAATGGATAGTGACTCGAGTAATCGAGTTAATGAGTGGACAATTATAAATAGACACCGGTCGGACTCGGTTATATAGATAGACCATGCGTTTTGGCGCAACCGTCAAAGTGCACTCACTCGCCTCTGCAACACAGCAACACAATAAATAAAAATGAGCACACTGCAATACATACTTTACATCATACATTCATACTCTGTTTTAATAAACATTTGCGCTAGGGTGTTATTTGTCTCACTACTACATACCACACGCAAGTATGATCAATCCACGAACAGGTATACTCGACTATTGAAAGAAGGGATTTTTTGCTAGTGTTCTATCGGCTTTGTAGGGAATGCATTGAGAGGTATAAGATTTGGTGCAAGTTCAGCGAATAGTTTGAGTTCACTGGCACGACAGGCCTACATTAGTCATAGAGTTTACAACCAACGCAAATTG